TCAAACCCCTTGCATATAGATGCAAATCTTTTTAACTAAAACCAACAACAATTTTTTTTTATACATGCATCTAAAAAAATAATACATATCATAATATTCATCTTGTTTTTCAAGTTCTTCTACTAAAACCTTAATGTTAGCCATTTATATCAAATATCTAAATGGTCGGGAAGAAGTTAACACTGAATATGGACATATCATACTCACCTTCTATGAAACAATATGCCACTAAAAAACTACATATTCAACAAAATTAAAAAAGGCCATATCTATTAAGCAAGTAATGTTTACATAATTATCGTTAAATTTTCAAAATTATTTCACAAAAATTATTGTTTAATTTTGTTTGTAGTAGATGATTACCATTGGTTTGTTAGTAGGTCGACGATGATTTGAATGGCTATTACTTGAAGTCGCTTTATATGGATGGATATATCAAAAAACGTACAACCAATTAAATTCTTTGCACCCATAATTAGTCAAAATTAGACTTTATTCAAAAAGAAGACTTTTTTTTATAATATGTAGAGGATTTTAGGTGAAACTTTTAATATTAAAAGAACACTTTAAGCAGATTTCATATTCATTATTATTTTCTGAAATATTTCATTAAATCCAAAAAAAATTTCAATTTTTTATGATGAAATAAAAAAACTGTTATTATCAAAAAATAAATAAAAATTTATTTGTTCACATTGAAATGATGCTTTCATGTTAAGTTTATCTTTTTGCAGATCCTTTATTCATATTTTGATTGATACAAACATATATCATAATCATATGAGAAAAATATTAAAAATAAATTGAAGTTCTTTTTTAAAATGCGTTATTACAAAAACAAAATGACAACTTACTTGATCATAGCAGAATAATAATTCCATGTTAATATATTCTTCCCTCAGATCATTTATTCATATTTGATTGATACAAACTTGTGTCATCATCATATAAGAAAATATTAATAACCTATTAATATATATTTTTAAATGAGTTGCTCGAGTTTTTATGAATTGTGTTGGACACTGATTTTGATTTTATAAAAAAAGTTTCAGAAGGGCTGCAAGTTGTTAGATTTTTAACCTATCTAATAATATAAATATTTAATACAAAATTTTATGCTTTAATTATGAAAAATTAAGAAAATGAAAATTTTGTCAAAGATCATAATCGAATCATTGATTAGTTTTTTTTTTAATTAAAATTGTCATAAGATTATGCAGTTAGTATAAAATGTGACAGAAGTTGTTAACGTTTATATTATATATGATTTAAAAAAATATATCTGTGAAATAAATGATAAAGAAAAATTATCTTATTCAAATGTATAAATTAAATCCAAATTAATATATAAAAATGAGATTTCAGATTTTGTGTTATAATTTTACTTTATTGTTGTAAATCTATGAATGATATCTCATAATTATTTGATAAAATATCTATTTCAAAAAAAAAAATTAAAAAAGTTTGAAGGATTTTTTTGGACAGTTTTTGAGAGATTTATTAATGAAAAATCGTTACAAAACCAGAAAATAACAATTTAGTTACATAATATTGTTTTTCAAAGTATGTATATATATATGTAACCCAAAAATAACTATTACATATACTTTCATGTTAACCTGGCTATGATATCAAATGTCCACCTCTCTTATTAATATGATATTGTCCTCTTTGGACCCGCACGGATTTGTATTTGAGCTCTTCCAAAAGGCTTCATACTTATAAGAGTTGGACACTACTTATATACTAGACCATCACTATCTAATCTTTCGATGTGGGACATATCTTACACACACTCTTTAGACTTTAGAGATTAAGACATCATGGCCTATTAATCTCTACTAATCCCAATAATATATTTTTCTCTCATATCATTTATTTATATTTAATTGATATAAACATGTAACACCATTATATAAAAAATATTAAGAACCTATAAATATATATTTTTAAATGAGTTGCTCTTCTTCATGAATTGTGTTGGAATGTTCAACTGTTTTAAATCTTATAAAAAAATTTAAGAAAAAGATGCAGTCTCTTAGTGTTCTAAGCTATTTAGAAATATAAATATTTAATACAAAAGTTTATGCTTTAGTTACGAAAAGATTTAGGAAAATGAAGATTTTGTTAAAAATCACAATCAAATGTAATTGATTAGTTTTTTTGGTTAATGTAATTGATTATTTTTTTAATTAAAATTATTGTAAAATTATGTAATTAATATAGAGTGTGACAGAAGTTGTTATGATCATATATGATCATAAAAGTTATATTATATATGCCTTTTTAAAATATATATATAAAATACATGACAAAGAGAAATTATTTTGTTCAAATATATAAATTAAACCCAAATTAATATATATATATATAAATGAAATTTTGGATTTTGTGCTATAATTTTGCTTTATTACTTTAAACTTAATAATTTATCAATGATATCTCATAATTGTTTGATAAAAAATTAATTCGGAAAAAATCATATATATAATTAGAGAAGTTTCTCTCCATCTAAAGTGTCCACATCAGTTTTTTTATTTTTATTTTCTGGGCTTTAAGTATTTTGGGTTTTCAGATAATATTAACTAATGTGACTTTATTTTTAGGGAGGTTTTTTGGGCCTTTTAAGATATTAACTTAAAAAGAAAATACCAATTTAAAAAAACACAAAGCTGTATGTTTTTATATAAAAAACATGTATTCTAATTTTAATAAGAAACAAACAGGATGTGGAAACAGAGGTTAAAATCGAACAATGAAAAAACTTGCACAGAATAGTTGTTGAAGTTTTTTAAAAAATGTTCAGAAAAAATATATGCAGAAAAATAAAATAAAATTATTTATACTTTACGTTGTAAAATGAATGATGGTTTTTCATAAAAAAAAGACTAAAGTTTTGCTGTGAAAAAAAAGACTAAAGTCTAAAATCATGTAGCATAAAAATAAACTTGATCTATAGAATATGTGACCACAAAAAAAAAGCTATACAAAGGGAAAAAAAAGATTTAGGACTGTTGTGATTAAGAATGATTTATAAAAAGCTTTTCTCCAATGAAGCTATACAGTTCAGCAAGTAGTTCTTTTCTTTATGGTTTGTGATCTTTTTTTGATCAGCTTCTATATATTTTAGGTTTGTATGTTTTAGGCCTTCATACAAAATAAATTTAAAAGTGAAAAAACCAAATACTTATTTTATAAATAGTAAAAACTAAAAAAAATGAAATAAAAAAGTAAATATATTATTTAGAATAGAAGACAAAAGAATGTAAAAAAAAAGTTGGAAGGCGAACAAATACAAAACATGACAGAAGAACTTGCGAAGGATAGTTATCAAACTTTAAAAAAAAATCTTGAGAATATATATACGTATATATATATATATAACTAAAGTAAAATTATTTGTATAAATATATACTTATTTTATAAATCATAAAAACTACAAATTCTCTACGAAAAAAAAAAAAATTAAAATGCTATTTCAAATATAAACAAAGAGAATGTGGAAAAGAAGTTGGAATGCAAACAAATACGAAAGATGACGGAAGAACTTGTGGAGTTACCAAACTTAAAAAGATAAACGGGAAAGATATATATATATAAAAATGAAGTAAAATCATTCATATCTATCTTATTGTGAAAATAAATAAAAGTTTTATATGAATAAAGAAGACTAAAGTGTTTAATCATATAGCATGAAATGAACTTGATCTATACAAAGAAAAAACTAATAATAAAAGCATGACTATTTGTGCTTTAGAATGAGTTCGAATTTTTAAAATTTATGAAAAATGAAGAAGTTATTCAATTTAAAGCATTGGGATTGTTGATCTCGCCGAAAATAAGCAATATAAAAAAAGGTAGAAATCAATCGAATAGAAATATATATGTAGTGAAAAACTTAAATACTTATTACAGTGTATAAATATGGATGAAGTTTTTAAAAAATTAGCACATGTTAATAACTTCATAATTATCTATATATTTTAGGATAAAATAATAAAAAAACATTTTAATTAAAAAATTAAAATAACTATAAAATAATATAAATAAATTAAAAATAAACATAATAATAATATAAATATAGAAAATTATAAAGTACGAAAATAGATTAACAAATAACTATGCGCAATGCGCAGGCCAAACCTAGTAAACATAATTTGAAAAGAGTTTGAAAGATTTGATTTGGACAGCTTTTGAGAGATTTATTAATAAAAAATCGTTAACAAACTAAAAAAATAAATCTGTTACATAATATTTTTTTCATAGTATTTATATATAACCAAAATATAACTATTACATATTCATCATTAACTATGAATTTTTAATTATATATATAAAAAGAAATTGATTATATAATATATATTTAGTTTATAACTATTACATATTCATCATTAACTATGAATTTTTAATTATATATATATACGAAAATAAATTATTATACTATTACTTATTTATGTCATACATATATGGTAATTATGTTAAGATATTACATGATATTATGCAAGATTCTGAAATAATTTCAAAATTAAATTAAACTAAATTAAATTAAATTATAGTAGTTTGTTAAAAGATAATACCAATAAAGCATATGTGGGACACTATATAGATTTAATAATAGACTTGTGTTTTTTAATGAAAGGATGAAACTATCCTCGATAAAATAGTTAAAATTTTTAGTGAATCCAATTGCATATTTAGCAAATACCATGATAACTCTTAGATATTTTAAAGTAGTATTTTACTTTTAATAGTATAAATTATTTTAAGAAATTAAGATGTTTTTAATAATTTTCACTTTTATTAGAAGAGTCCAGAGATTTTTAGAGATAATAAAGAAATATACTTAAATGTTAAAATAAGAGACATAAGTTATGAAAATCAAGAAAGTTAGAAAGTAAGAGAAGCACACCACAAAGTATATTGTGTCATTAAATCACAATATATTTTAGATTTTCATTTAAGTATTAGACTTTATATACATATAATGACAAGAAGATAAACATCACATACTCTTTTGAAAGTGAGAAAAGCACACTACAAAGTTGTTTAAGACAGAAAAACCATGAAATCACAGACAACTCTCATATGCATGTTCATGCTCTCCCTCTTTGCTTTACATCAGTGTAAGTATAGGTTTTCTCATTTATATTATTTATGACTCTTTGTTTTCTTCTCGTTAATTTTTAGTTGTTATATGAATTTAAATGTGAAGGCGCGAGAATGGATGTTGGAGAAATAGAGAAATCAAACAACAAAATCATATTAGGAATGTGTCTGCATCGCGCATGTCACAGTTGGTTTACAAAAGATTGTTTTTGTTGTTTGAGAGATATAAAAAAGTGCTGGAAAGAGATGGCTCAATGTGAATCCAATTGTCCTCCTTTGAAATATTAATGTAAATGTATGATTTTTTTAAATAATTGAAATCTCATGTACTTAAATGTTGTTGTTCACCGCCTGGGGATAATAAAACTATATATTAAAGTAAAATAAATGAATTTTACCTAAACTAATCTATTTTGTATTTTTTGAATTCTTATTTAAATAAATTTGTACTAGATAACCAAAAAAACTGAGAACTAAGTAAGTAACCATAAAATAAATTGGGAACGATATTCTGAATATACATTTACACTTTTGAGTTATGAGTCACTTCCCTGATATGACTGCTTTTTTTTTTTTCTATATATGGACTCGTGTTATTTCTTAATAAAAATCACGCTCAGATAGTACTACCATCGCTAAATCTATAAAATTATCATTCACATGTCATCTCTTTGTGGATTCTTGGCCTGAACCAGCCTCAACACAAACTCTCAAATCTCCTCCACAAGTTGTTGCAACAAATGATATATGTCATTTGGCGGAAAAGGAACCAACGTGGATATTTACGTCAACAAGAGCAACTTCAAACTCTCTTAAAAAGGCCATTGACAAAACAATGAGAAGGTGGCTAATATCTCCATCCATTCGTGAAGTATTGAATTCTTCAACTCTCCTTTAATATTATTTTGGTTGAAACTAGTAAAATTCTTTGTACAGTTACGGATTAGCCATAAAAATGCCATGGCTTTTTCCATGACTATAGAATTGTGATTACTTTTTTTGTGGCTATATGAATTTTTTTGTTGTTTGAGAGATATTTTAGATACAATTTTTTTAAAAATAAATTATATTTTGTCTGTCTTTCGATTACATAGGTTAAATTCTCTAAAATAAACAGGTACACTTTAAATCCATCAAAACTTCTTCTTTCTTTTTTTTTCAAGTGATACATGTAAATAAAAGTAAAAAAGAATCAAAGAAGAAGTTTTGATGAATTTAGTGATGAAGAAAATGATTTTTTAATATTAATATTTATAGATATGTTATTAATTGTAATTCATTTGTCTTTTTGACTTTTGTCTTTTTAACCTTAAGAAGATAAGAATGATTGATTGGTTTTTGTTTTGGACAAACAATATTTAGTCCAAAACCCCAAAAAACGGAAAACAAAAACAGCAAGACGTTGCCATTCAAGGCCTAAGTAAGTTACATAATCAATTAAGAATTAAAGCAAGCAAGTTGAGTAAATAAACAAATCAAACATTTAGTAAAGAAGAACAAAGAAAAAAAGTAAACTAGTTGACGATGTAAGCAAGCAGTAAATGATAAATTTAAAGTTCAAAAAAAAAAAAAAAATGCAAGTAGTAAAGGAAGGAAACACAAAATCAAAGAATCAAAGAAACTAAGAAGAATGAAACAAGCAAACAAGTTAACGATGTAAACAAACAGTGTAGTAAGTAAGGAAACACAAAATCAAAGAATCAAAGTAACAAAGAAGAATGAAGCAAGTAAACAAGTAAAGCATGTAAGCAAGCAATGAAACAAAGAGTCAAGCAAGTTTAGAAATGAAATAAGCAAAGAAGAAAGCAAGTAAACAAGCTAACGATGCAAGCAGATAAGCAAGCAATGAATCAAACAAAACAAATATGCATGTCTACATGTACGCATGAATGTGTATGCATGTATGTAATATGTTGGGAGATTTAAGAGATCAACTAGAGGTCACACTATCGAAGGAGACCAATGAACAATATTGTTAAAGTAGTTGAAAGATATTTTTCAAATACTTTCAACAATATTGTGCTGTTTCCGCCTTTAGGGTAATCTCTGTGATTTTGGTGGTGTTGGTATGAAGAATTTGTTAGTCTCTCTATCTAAGATAGGTTCACATGACAAAGACTAAAAGAGATGATAATTTGAAGCTATAAGAGAAAAATCAAAATACTAAACCGAAGAAACTAGAAGGTAACTCTAGAAATCGAAATCAAAACGTAAAGTCTCAACCACAGTCCAACTTATTTTTCAATTAATAATATGATATATACAGTATAACAAAAGATAAAAAATCATATATTCTTTTGAAATAAGAGAACCACGCCACAAGGTTGTTTATGACAAAAAAGAAAAAAAAACCATGAAATCACAGATAACTCTCATTTGCATGCTCATTATCTCCCTCTTTGCTTTACATCAGTGTATGTATAAATTTTCACATTTCTATATTATATGTCCGTTTGTTTACTTATCTTTTATTTTTGTTTGGTTTTAACTGTGAAGGTACGAGAATGGATGTTAGAGAAATAGAGGAACCAAACAAAATCGTTTTAGGATTTTGTGCGCATATGTCATGCACCGGAGGTTTAGAAGAATTTGTTATTGTTGTTTGCTAATGAAAGGTAACAATTGCTGGAAAGCGAAAGCTAAATGTGACTCTGTTTATCAATCTAAACTTTTGATAAATTAATTTAAGTATAAGATTTAACCGCGTGAAGAAAATAAAATAAATGAATGGTATCTAAATTGATTTTTTACTTCTTTTTTACATTTTCATTCTAAAAATTTTAGTTAACTTATTAAAAAAAATTGAATTCTTTTATCAGTATGGTTCAAACCATTACATAATTCACACACCTTTCATTCTTCTGCCAATGATAACAAGCGAACAGTAGTTTTCACTCTTATCTTAGTCTAGTGTTGTACTTTCTTGGCATGGACCCATAGCTTTCATGTAACGAGCCTATTGCAGAAATTTCAATTATCCAAAACGCTTGATTATCCTTTTATATGGTAAAATATATGTTTATACAATTACACATGTATGTTGGTGATATGCAAGAATTTAAGCACTGCCGAATGACAAGTCTCCTTTCTCTAATTTCTTGCTGCCGATTTGCACTGAAGTTTTAAAATATGACAGTGCATGGCAAAAAGAAAGGAGAAAGAATTAAGGATTTTGAGAAAGAAGAGAAAAGAAAGAAAGCGAAAAGAGAGAAGAGAGAGAGACAATTGCATTGACGAAGACAATAACCCGAACCAAACGGAAGATCGACTTAGCCAAATTCGAGAATCCTTCGCAATCCTCCGATCCTAACTCGAATAATCCAAGACCCTAAGCGACATGACCAAACCGATCCAAACCCAACTGCTTAGTGTTGGGTTTGGTTTGCGTTTGGAACATTTGTTGTTGCAAATGCAAGTTTCTAAAAGTACGAAAGCATAAGTTTCAAAAACGGAAGCGTAAATTTTCATCATACTTACAAAATAACTTTCTTTGAGAAAATATCACATTGAGTTTCCAAGAGTTTTCAAGAGATTTTGACTCCAATTCTGATTTCAAAATGTTAACTATTTTGACTCCAATTCTAAATTTGTGCTAGCTTAAAACAATTTGTGTTGTTTGGCTGGAGAAAAGAGAGATAACACTAATTGCAATATAATTCTGCTATTTTAATTTTAATTTGATTTAATAATTCCTTTTTTATATATCAATTCCTTTTTTATATAGAAATCTAAATTTCTTTACACAATTAGTATAAAAAACCAATTACTTATGTTGATTACATTATATTGTGATGCAGGGCAATCTTAACCATTTAGGAGTCACGTCTTTTGTGCTTTGGTGTTTACGTGATCACTAAGCTTTAGTTTTCCTTTTCTCTTTTCCTATTTCGTTTTGGTGTTGTTTTCTCCTTTTCTGTTTGGGTTTCCTAATAGCTATTGAGATTTGTTCATGGCTATATAAGAAAATTCTCGCTTGTGTTGTTTTTCAGACTTGGATATTGATAAATAAAAAAAACCAAAAAGAAAAAACTCAAGTTTCCCATAAAGAATTTTGCATTCGCACAGCACTGAGAGGAGTACTCTTGCCATTGCCTTGTCTGATTCTTTAATCGTTCAAGTCAGATCCGTTTTGTTGCAAGAGTTCTCCTGGAGACCTTTTCTTCGAACCGTTATATTGCTTCCGCGACTCCATCATATTGTTGACAAAATTTATAATATCTGATATATTGATGGGGTGTTATTAAAAATATTATATTTAAGTTTTTGATTATAAAATAAAAATACTAAAATACCACATCAAATAGTTTAATGTGGGATCTAAGTGTGTTAAAAACTAACTTTTGTCATATTTTGGGATTCTTCAAACTTTTGGTACTTAAGAAGACATACATAATAATATTTTTTTAATATCTTCTAAATAATTCATAGAAAGAAAAACATATAGATATATTTAAGTATATGTCTTCATAGAAGGAAATGAAATCTAAATGATATAACTAATTTAAAAATCCAATTCATATTAATAATTCATTTTTTATTTTTGAATTATTTAGACATGTTTCATTTAAATAATTCATTTTCATATTACCAATCTAAATGATATAACTAATAATTCATTTTCTAGACTGGTGTGATTCTATATATATTACCTTTTATTTTAACATGATTTGATGACACAATATACTTGAGATTTTAATTCAAGTATTAGACTTTATATACATATAATGACAAGAAGATAAAAATCACATACTCTTTTTGAAAGTAAGAGAAGCTCACCACAAGGTTGTTTAAGACAGAAAAACCATGAAATCACAATCAATTCTCATATGCATGTTCATGCTCTCGCTCTTTGCTTTACATCAATGTAAGTATAAGTTTTCTCATTAATATTATTTATTCTCTTTGATTTCTAGTCGTTAATTTTTGGTTGATAAAATGAATTTAAATGTGAAGGCGCGAGCATGGATGTTGGAGAAATAGAGAAATCAAACAGAATCATATTAGGAATGTGTGTGCATCGCGCATGTCACAGTTGGTTTAAAAGAGATTGTTTTTGTTGTATGAGAAATATCAAAAATTGCTGGAAAGAGAAAGCTCAATGTGAATCCAATTGTCTTCCTTTTTCAAAATAATTGAAATCTCATGTATTAGAAGTTGTTGCTCACGCCTGGAGTCTGGAGATAATAAAACTATTAAAATAAAATAAATGAATTTTATCTAAATTAATATTATTTTGTATTTTTGAATTTTATTTCAAAAACTTAAACAAATTTGTACTAGATAACCAAAAAAACTGGAAATTAAGTAAGTAAAGTAACCATAAAATAAATTGGATACGATGTTCTGGAAATATATATAGAATCACACCAATCTAGAAAATGAATTATTAGTTATATTATTTAGGCTGCAAATGGAGGTACAAATAGCGGACAAATTTTGGTGTAATTGATAGTTACGCTGCATTCCTCTGAATTCCTTCCATTTACATTTTTTTTAACTTTTAGGTAGAAAAGATGGGACCCACATTTTAGGTGGAACTGGACTTTATTCTGCTGAGATTTAGTCCTCCACAAAAAGGAAGAGGAATAGTGAAGCGTAACATTTTTTATTTATTTTTTATATTTATTGTATTTAAAAGTAATTAAATATATCAGCTACTTTTGTTGATCCTATAACAAACAATATATTTTCAAAAATTCTAATCAAAAATAAATAAATAGCTAAACATTTAATAACAACAACTTAGATATTTCCAAACTAAAAGATTTATTTGAATAATTTAAAAATAAGTTACAAAATAGGTAAAACCAACATCACCACACCAAAGATTTCAGCCGTAAAAAAAAAACAAAACACAATTTCTACTTATCATAAAACTAGGTTATGAACTAGAAAAAATCTTAGCCATGATTGAAAGGTAATCGATTCTTTAAATGCTCATAATTTTTATATATTATTTTATTATAGTTTTTTGTAACACTTAATTCATAATTAATCTAGATTTTATATGTAGTTACATCATAAAATGCTGTGTTTCCATGATTTGTTAATGTTTTAATACTATAAAGCTTGTTATGTATATGAAGAATTGTATTTGCGTACTTTTTAAAACTGGTAGTATGTAATTGAATTTTGAGAGATGAAATCATATTGTTCTCTTAACTGGATCAAGTTTTCTTTACAATTATATATTGTTTATGGATTAAGTTGTCATTAATTGATTACATTAATGTTGAAAAATTACGTAGATTCATATTCACTGATGTGATTTTTTTTTTTTAATAAAGGAACAAAAATGGAAACAATGCTGGATCAAGTAATAGGAGACGTTCAAAGCGCAAAGATAAATCTGTTGATGAAACTAATACAAATCGCGAAGCATCAGTAAGTCTAATAACACCCTCTCATATATATAGTTTATAATTTTAAGACTACATATTTATTACTTTTAATTTTTAGAATTAGTTATATATAAAATGGCTAAATTTATCTTATTTTAAATTCTTATAATTTAAAATTTATTTAACAAATCAAAATAAAATAAAAAATTTAAATAAATTTTACTTTATTTATTAATTCTAAAATTTCAATTTTATACTAATCTATAGAATATTCTACTAAAATACTTTTTTGACAGGAAAAAAAATTCTAAGATTATTTTATATTATATATTTATCTATAGATTATTCTACTAAAATTATTTTTAAATTTGTATACAGAATTTATAAATATTAAATTTTATCTGAATAAAATTTATCTAATTAAAAGATTTATATAAATCTAAAATTTAGAGAAAATTTTAAGATTTATCTAACTAGATATCTCTAGTATGTTTAATTTTCATTTATAATTTTAATTTATAAAAATATATATGAGTAAAACCTGGTCAAAACGGTTTTTCTATATCAATTAATTTAACTATTAAAAAAATAAAATAGTGTATTTTTTAATTTACAAATGTTAATTAGATTAGTATGCCAATGCCCCTATATATATATATCGATATATACACTTACTTAGTTTGTGTATTTTTAATTAATATAGTTTTTTTTGTATGCAAAATTAAAATAGTGTGTTTGGAGTCCAAAAAATTACGAAATTTTGCTCGAACTTGTGAATGACGAGCTAAAAGCAAAAGGATATATGATTAGACTACCTGACAATCCTGGAAAGAGAAGAGTGGAAGAAAAATTTTTATGAAATAACTGGCATTAAAGTCAAATGGGAGCCAGAAATAAAAAGCAGAATTGACTATATGCGTAAGCTTCGGCAGTATAACACTATATTAACCAGTCGGACTGGTGTTAGGGTTAATCCTCTAACTGGAAGGTTAGAGATGTCCGAATCTTGGTGGAGTGATCGAATTGCGGTGAGTGCTAAAAATATTACCATATAATATTAGTATTACACACTAAATTTAATTAATAATATTTTAATATTTTTTAGGAATTTGGAAAAAATGGAAAATTTGTACGAGTGCTACAAAGCAAAGCTCTTCCATTTAAAGAACTACTCGATCAAATTTTTGGTGAACATGATCTAGAACAAGATGATCGTTATTCACCACACATACTCCGTACAAACATCCTACAAAGACTTCATCACGAAGAAAGTGATGATGATATAGAGGTGGAGGAAACACCAGAAGACAATGGGTCCCAATTTCCGATGGAACTAACATCTGATGATGATTTTCCCCGAGCTAGTCAGTCAGCTATCGCTGCTACTAGGGAACAAGTACGGAGTTCTCCATCCCGTATAAATAAATCAACTTTGCGTGCTCGAAAATCTACTACTAGACGTCCTAATCGAAAAAGAATCAACTTCGAGAGCCAAGTTCAAACTGGATTTGAACGTCTTGAAGAGTCTCGAACAAGCTTGTTGGATGTCTTACGGTTGCGGCATAACTCAAAAGCAACTTTTGGTGATGCTGTAGCTGTATTGGAGACGTTGCCGGTTCAACCGATGAGGAAATTTTGGTGGGAAGCAAATAGGCTGTTGATGAATGACGAAGATGTTCGTGATGGATTTATGAAATTACGGAATGAAGAAAATAAAATTCAGTTTTTGGAGAACCTAACTGGAGTTGATAGATATGGCTATCCATGTGATATTATCAATCTGAGGGGTACTAGCAGCTCTGCAACTCCTTCTCTTCCATCTATGCACTCACAAATGGCAGGAATTAATACTAATGCATCCTCAAGTTTCTCCCAAAGATATGAAATGTTTGATATGGGTTCTTCAGGGACTACTTTCTCATCTTTGCTTGGAGTTGTGCCCTCACCTAACATAATAGGCGAAACTAGAAGTGGCACAAATTAGCTATGTATTATTGTTTTTGCTAGTAGTGGTCAATGCCAATAAAATATTTATTTAAAAAATAAAATAATAACTTGTTTTATTTCCATTCAATAAATATTTTATTTTTGTATCACATTCAATAAAAATATACTTATGTATCACTATAAAATTTAATATATTTTTCTAACTTTTTTTGTATTATTTTCAGATATTTCGTATTGCAGAATTGCATTTACGTGGACTTAAAAATTTATCGGATGAAGAAATTACAGAGCTGTTATTGCTGGAAGAAGATGAAATTTTACACACTCACATCACTCCTCTGTTGAAGTATTATGGAAAATTCTTTTGCAAAGAACCAATGAATCAAAAAAGAGGCAAAGGGTGGCACATTATTCGACAACAAATCTATGAAAATGAGAGTTCATGTCGAATGCTTATACGGATGAGTCCAGAGGCTTTTACACGTCTGTGTAAAATTTTAGAGGAGAGGTATAATCTACAAGACACGCAAAATATGCATGTTGACGAGAGTGTTGCAATATTTCTCATGATTTGTGGGCAAAATGATACTCAAGGCGATATAGGTTTAAGATTTGGCCATGCACAAGAGACAATATGTCGAAAGTTTCATGAAGTCCTTGAAGCAATGGAACGAATGGGTGTAGATTATATACGACCACGAACGGCACAAGAACTTGAAGCTCAATCAAAGCGTCTTGAAGAAGATATACGATATTGGCCATATTTCGATGGATTTATCGGGGCATTAGATGGGACGCATGTACCTGTTATGGTGACTCCAAGACGAGAATCTATTCGATTTTATAATCGAAAAGGAACTCCGAGTCTCAATGTCTTGGCCATGTGCGACCTAGACATGCTTTTCACATATTGTTTCGTTGGTATGGCAGGATCAGCTCATGATGCACGTGTATTATCAACAGCTATTCAAGATGATCCTTTGTTTCCTAAGCCTCCAGAAAATATGTATTATCTTGTGGATTCTGGATACGCCAATAGACGTGGATATTTAGCTCCATACCGGAAACAAAGTAGCATTGGCACACGATATCATCTACAAGAGTTTTTGAATGGTGAACCGCCACAAAATAGTAAGGAAATGTTTAACCGATGGCATGCATCTCTTCGTTCAGTTATAGAACGAACATTTGGTGTTTGGAAGAAAAAATGGAGGGTTTTAAATGAACTTCCAAGATATAACATTGCAGTTCAAAGACGAGTCATATTTGCTACAATGGGACTCCATAATTTTATTCGGATGAATAATATTGAAGACGTTGATTTTGAGGAAGCAGATTTAAAAACGGATTTATATGAACGACATAATGTCAATGATGATGCAAATGATGATCAAAATGTTGGTGTTGAAGAAGAAGCGGAAACAGGAACATATATGAGAACTGTTCGTGATGAAATTGCTAAATTTATGTGGCTTAAGAAAAGACGTGGAAGTCATTATCATTAATATTAGATTACTAAGTTTATGTAGCTAAAACATTGTGGATTTTTTTAAATTAATTTTAGTTTTCCACTTTGTTCCTCTAGATAATTACCATTTGTCTTAATAAATTATTCTTCTACCATTGTTCCTCTAATTTATTTTATTCCTCTAACTAATTTCATTCCACTTATTTTTATTCCACCCATCGTTATTCCTACTATTCTGTTTTTTCCACTTGTGTACTTCCATTTGCAGCCTTAGATTGGTAATATGAAAATGAATTACAGTAACATCTATTAGTTCCTTGCAGTCAAAGTAACCAAACTCAAATTAGTTTATAATAAAAAACAAAAAAAATTGGAATTCTTTTATCATTCAGATTCAAATTGCAACATCCTTTAGACACCTCCA